CCAAAATCGCAATAAAAAAAAAAAAAAAAACTCTATCAACACTTAGATATATACTTGGGGTTGTTTTTTTTTTACTTAACACTCAGATTAGTGTTAAGCTTTCATACTGCATCACTAAAATTATTAATTTAAACAGTATTTCCCAACAGTGGAGGTGCACGTCCCAAAGGTGCACAATGTGAAAATAATGGGGCAACATTTAGTATTCTGAGATAGGAAATTTAAATCAGGCTTTAAAAAAATTAATTAATAATTAAATAAAGGGGTGTGTGTGTGAGTGTGTTTAAGACAGAATTCCTTTTTTTTTTAAATTTCACCACTGTTAATTAATGTATTTAATTTTTTACAATACCAGACCTGCCAACCTGCCAAGTAAAAATATCTGTAGGGGGGTTGCACGCAGGGGGGGAGTGAGGCCGCTGCCCCCCACGAGAGGCCCCCTGTGGGGGGTTGGTTTAAGATCTATATACTAATGCACAAGCCTTTTTTAGTAAATAAAGAAATATAAAGTTACCTCCATTGTCTTTGAAGAGTCAACAAAACACCACAGAACATGAGATAAACATTACTGGAAATGTTTATATACAGATATATACAGTACAGAACAGAAGATCCATTTCATTTACATACGTATACACACACACAGGCTGCTAAGACTCCAAGTAAGAGTTCAGCTTTCCAGCATATCCCTAGTGGCCTTTTTGCACTTGTCCAAAAGCTCTTTAAATAACTGAAGGTTAACATTGCAGTTGATTTTAGTTACAATATTACAAGCAAGTTATAAAAAGTATCAACTTTCATGCTTGCCCTTGTTTCATTGTAATTTTTCTTTACAATCTTTTAGCATTCTGCAAGTCTGGAAAGATTTTTTTGACTCTGGCATTAAAACGATCGGGGTTAGCTAGAGAAATATTTCCTTCAATGTTTATTAATATCATTGTACCCATCACTTTCAATACATTTAATCATTTAATTAAGAAAAACTTTTAAAAAAAAAAAGTCTGAATTATCTTTTAGCCTTGTAAAAAGGATGAATCGCGATAGGATCAGTTGATGATTTAAGAATGATTTGAAGATCAAGGTACGCTTCGATAAAAACAAGGCAGTGTCTACACGTCAGGCAAACGGACAATTAGTGCGGGAGATATTTATCCGGCGGGCATGCCACGCTTTTTAAAAAAAACATCAATTTTTAACCAATTTTTCATTATATATACCAGCAATGGTGCTAGTAAATCTTTTTTATAATTGAACATAATTCTTTTTTGTGTAAATGCCCAGACTATATTGAATTAGTTGAAATGAAGTACCGTAAACTCTGATCGACTATTAGCGGTCACATGACAAGGCTGACGGATATATATCTTGCGCAACTTTGTTATGGTGGTCATGTGACTTGGTCGAATAAATACTAGGCGGGCGAATGTCTTGAGAATTTATTCACTTATGCGTCCGGTCACTGGACTTGTATGCACTTAGTAAAAACAAATGCAACACTTCCTGTTGCACTCAATTTTTTTCTGTCTTTTTTTTTTTTGTGGATTTGTCGCTTTCGGATTTTTATGACGGGTGAAAAATTATAAAGTTAAAAAAATCTTAATTTTAAGGGGTTTGTCGGAAGGTCGGAATGAGGGGTATAAAATCCATATAATTCTGACAAAATCGGAAGGGTCGGCGGGTCTGCAATACCAATATATTTCACAACAATTTATTTTACATTGTCAAATACAGAGGACTTAACAGGGAGCACTATAGACATCCAATGTTTTGTGTGTGTGTGTGTGTGTGGGGGGGGGGGGGGGGTTGTTTTTCAA